ATTAGGGATGAACAATAAATGCTGCCTAGCCAGCACCATCCTCATCCCTTGAATGAATAAAGAAATTCAGGCTGCTTCTATTGTTCCAACTTTTTAAAAAAAACAGGGCCTCGCAAGCTGTTTACTTTATTGGCTTTGCACAGACCACTCAACACCTTGGTCCCAACCTTTTTTCATTTAAAAAAAAAATGGACAGAATACACCTCCTAAAGCCATAGTATCATCACGATGACTGCTAGCAGCCTGACATAGTGGTCTTGGCCCGGCGCGGCATTGTCCTAGTGTGCTGGTGTTGTCTCCCTGCAGAGGTCTTCTTCGGCATCAACTTCCAGATTTTCCAGCTGCCTGACAGGCCTTCATCCAGGAGAGGTGGCCTGTCATTGTGGTCTTCTTCGGCAGAGTCTTCTGGCCTAGTATTCCAGTAGCCCAGCGTGATGGTTTCGTCCCGGCATGGCTTGTTCTGGCTGCATCTCCTGGATATTCCATCATTCCTTCATTGGCTTTCCACAAGCCTAGAAGCCATTAACTGAACTGTGATGAACTTTTTCTTAATAATAAAAAAAGTAAAATTATGTATAACTTATGTCATTAATATAGGTGCCATCGTAGGGTTACTTATAAAACTTTTCACTGTATTTTTCATGTAAAAGTACGTGTGAAAGTAAATTTCTATTCTATTATATTCTTATCCCTGCTACGTGAGCAGTTCTAGGGTCCCTATAGCTGATACACCTTGAGTGTACAGAGCAAGGTCAAAGAGATTGGGCTGGTCTAGAAACCTTGTAATGTCCTGTTTACAGCAATCACCACACATACTTCCCAAGGACGCCTGGATTATAGAATCATAGAATTGTTGGAGTGCAGAAGGAGGTCATCAGCCTATTGTGTTTGTGCCAACTTTCTTGACTTAGTGCAAAACACCTGGTTTTTCCCCATAATCCTCAATGTTGTTTCGATTTAAATAATCATGCAATACACTCTTGAATGCTTATTATACCTCCAGACAGCACATTCCAAACCCAGACCATTTGCTTTGTACGAAAACTTTTTCCCCACTTCACATTTGCTTCTTTTGCAAACTGTGCCATCTGGATATCTCTTAACATATTCAACCTCGACATCACGGATAGTCTCGACTTCCTTATATCCCTGGGGTATTGATTGGATCATGAGCTAACTGAACCCCAAAGAATGAAAAATGTGATTGAGAACAAGTATGGAGAGCTCGATGTTGCCATGATAGTGGATGTCTCATCCCCATGAAACATAGACCTGAATGACTAAAGGGATATAAATCAGCTCACAGCCCTCAGCAAGATGCTCACAGAAAAGCTGCTTATTAATGGTTGACTTCTTTGATCCTGTGTCAATTCAGCACAATGCTTCTACTTACCAAATTTCGTATTCACTGTAGGACAAATCTTTACTCCTGTACATAAGACTGAATCTTTCCTTGAAGGAACCTTGTCCACGTTTCCACCTGGCTCTCAGGGAAGGCCAACTAGTTTTATGTTTGTTGAGAAGGGAAGACTTTTGGACTGATGGCATTGGTAGCTGTGATTGCTGAGGGAAGTTTTGTTCAAAGTTCCCAGCCCTATCACAATTCACACACCTCTTTGGAGCAAAGACTAGTTCTGCCTTTGCTACTCTATAATCTGTTCTGCCTGTCACTTCAGCCAAAGTTTTACGTCCCAGTCCATGTTGACAATCATCTCCTTGATGGGAGCTTATTTTCTGGTTTTCTAAGTCCACATTTTTCCTGTGATCCAAATGTTGTGATCCTCTTCCCAACGTTCCCTGACGGGCTTTCCTGTGCAGATGCTCCATCACAAACATGCGTATCCACTTATGTTAAGGTCCCTGGACACCATACCAGCATTGTATCCTCAATCCAAACTTCAAGGGTGGATCATCAGGTTTTTCTGATCTCCCCTCAAATCAGCCCAGCTTCCTACCTGTCATCAAGTGAAAATATACAAACAGATATACCGCTTCCTTCCTCTGTAGCATCGATGAATGTATACAGAAGCCTCTGCCTGGATTTGTCTAAAGGGCTAATTTCCTCAGCCGATGCTTCAGTCTCCAATGATACTAAAGCACCTTCAGCCCCCCTCATGAACATTGCCAGTTTCAACTTTTGCATCATCTACTCCTTCTCAGCAAGGCACTTTTCAACCTATCTGCCATGACTTAATTCCTGTGCTGTAGAATACAGCCGACTGCATCTGAAATTAACATGAGAGTTTGAATACATAGCCAACCCAAAGATCATGAAGCAAGGATTCTTTAGTCCACTGGCATCAGATCATCACAAAAATGAAGGGAAATTAATGTTCAAAAAGGAAGACACTATTTACATGGAATTAAGCATGTGGTTTATATCTGTTTGATCTTTTTCTCCATAAGACCTCCTCCCTCCAAAGACATATTTCCTCCAGAGACAGTCTGTTGGACTGCTCTAGCTGAACTGCACAGTGCCCTCTGTCATCATTGCCACATGCTGCTGGAGCTCCCAACACAACAGCTTTTGCTTCCTTGCCCTACACCTTCCCTGTCTATCATTACTTCCTGCTAGAGGTTCCATTACTCATAGTCACTCACTAAAACAGAGATGTTGGAGAAGCCATTGTCTCACTCCACTTTTAAAAAATAGTGAAGCACTATCTGGTTCAATTTTTTTATTTGTGAGATTTATCCTCCAAATCTTTATGTACTATACACTGGGTCAACAGAACTGTTCCTAAAACTCTTGTAATGCTTCTTTGTTTTTATTTTCTCCTACATGGAATGATGACTACACTTCAGAAATACTTAATTTGCTGTCAAGTGCTTTGGGATGTCCTGAGGTCACAAATAGTGCTATATAGGAGCAAGAAAGTGTCTTCATTCTTTTTATCAGTTAGATAAATTAGAACAAGAGAGTCAGAAATGACATTTTTACTCCATTCCTTAGTAGAAAAGCCACACTGAGTTTTGAATCATGGTCGAGATTAGAACTTGCTGTGAAGGGTAATGCTGCCTCCTAGTGCCTTATGATACACTACTTGCAGGGTTCAGCTTTGTTATGAACACTTTTACTGTCATCTTACAAAACTGAATCATGTTGCCTAAAATGATTAAGTAATAAGTTGAAAAGAGATGGGCAATGAATGTATGTATCGCAAGGGAATGATAAGTGATGATGCAATAATGATAATATAACTAAACCTCTTAAAATTAATATTTTTCTTAGATGCAAGGCAAATTTTAAATGTTTTTAAATGTTCTTTTTTAAAAATACACTAATGAAAAGCTGACCATACCAATGTCACTAGTAAATGGAAATTTGTTGATTTTTAAAGTCATTTTCAGATATTTAAAGTTAGGTCACTTATGAGTAGTGGGATAGACATTGATTAAAATGCTTGATTTTGTGATAATCCAGTTTTTAGCTGTATTGATAAGATTTCAAGTTATTATTCAACTATATCACAAACTATTTCAATGTGATTTTTATTTTAAAATGATGTTCTAAGACATTGACTGACTGCAAGCATTCAGGGCAGGTTTGGGGATAAACTTGAGGGATAAAAACAAGCAGGCAGATTATTATCTGAATGGTGGTAGATTGGGAAAGAAGACCTGCAGGGAAACCTGGTTGTCTTTGTGCACCAATTGCTGAAAATAAGCATGCAGGTGCAGCAGGCAGTAAAGAAGACAAATGGTATATTGGCCTTCATGCAGAGGGAATTTGAGTACAGGAGCAGGGATGTCTTGCTGCAACTGTACTGGGTATTGGAGTACCAAACCCAGAGTATTGTGTGCAGTTTTGTTCTCCTTATCTGAGAAAAGATTTTCTGGCTATTAATAAAAGGTAAAGTCATCAGAGCCCTACCTGGATCATAGGGCTGCTGTCATTAAAGAGCAATGACTAGTGGGGTTCAACCTGAGGGTCACCACACCACAGGTGAGGGGAAGGTTGAGAATGACTGGACTTCATGATAACCTAAGTCAGTGCAGGAATTGAACCCACATTGTTTGTGCTACTCTGTATTGCAAACCAGTCAACCAGCCAACTGAACTGCCAATCCCCTATCTGGCAATAGGAGGGAGTGCAAAGAAGGTATGCCCGACGATTCCTGGGATGGCAGAACTGACGTTCAGAGAGACTGAATTGATTAGGACTATATTCCTTAGAGTTTAGAAGAGTGAGGGGAATCTGATAGAAACCAATAACATCCTAACAGGATCAGAGTGGGGTGGTGCAGGAAGATGTTGTCGATGACCAGTAGGTGACTCGATGACTGTGACGGCGGGTCACAGTAAGGATAAGGGGTAGGCCTTTTAGGAACAGAGATGAGGAAGAATTGCTTCACCCAGAGAATGGTGAGCTTGAGGAATCCTTTGCTAAAACATTGAAGACTTTCAAGAAAGATGTAGATGTAGTTCTTGGGACTAAAGGGATCAAAGGAAATGGGAAGAAAGTGGGAACAGGTTACTGAGTTGGATGATCAGCCATAATCAAACTGAATGGCGGAGCAGGCTCGATTGACTGAATGTAAAAACATTTCTCAAAATCAGCACAATTTTGAGTGCAATTTGCAGCTGAATTGTCTTCTTGGTCTGCAATGGTTGTAATGCCACTTCTTTAAATATTTATTCTTTTAAATATAAAACTGACATCAAGGTGAATACATACAGTTTATTTTTAAGACAAGTCATGGCTGTGCTACATACAATTTAAAGGTTCCTCTTTGTTCTTGCTATAAATGCAAAAAGAAATGCAGATGCATATACACAACTTTGTCAGAATTGCAGTACTTTAAAGATGCCACAGTGTTAAGGCATAGAAAAATAGGATCAATGAGTATTTACAGAACAGTGAAAGGCCGTATGGATGTTAAGGTCTGTGTTGGCTTCACTTAGTGCCACTCCACTTCCTTTCTCAGATAATGCAAATGTTTCCTCTTCAGATAATGATCCAAATCTCTTTTCAAAGCCACAACTGAATCTTCCTCTAACACAATCGCTGGCAATATATTTGAGATCCTAATTATGTGCTGCAAAACAAGATTTTTCCTAAATGTTGCCATTGTTTCTTTTTTACCTTAAATTGGTGTCATCTGGTTCTTGATCCTTTCACTAATGGAATCAATTTCTCCCTATCCAGTCTGTCCAGACCCCTCATGATTTTGAATACCTGTGTCAAATCTGTTCCCCATGGAGAACAGTACCAGCTTATCCAATCTATCTGTGTAATTGAAGTGTCTCATTCCTGGAGACATTCTCATGACTCTTTATTGTAACCTCTCTAGTGTCTTCACAGTTCTTCCTAAAATATTGTGCCCAGAACCGGATCCAGTACCCCAGTTGAAGCTGCACTGGTGTTTTATGTAAGTTTATCATAACTTATTTGATTTTGTAATCTATACACCAACTAACAAAGGTGAGGATCTCAAATACTTGTTTGACCTCTCATTCAACCTGCACTGCCACCTTCAATGACTTGTACATCTTTATGACGAGATCCATCTGCTCCTGCACCCCCTTTAGAACTGTACCCTTTATTTCCCCCTTCATCTCATCAAAATTAATCATTCCATCCTTCTATGAATTAAATTTCATCTACCACTTATTTACTTATCCATTCCACCAAACTGTCTATGCTTTTAAGAAGTTTAACACAATCCTCCTTAAAGTTCACAATACTTCCAAGTTTCTCGTCATCCAACGATTTTGAAATTGTACCCTTTACACAAAAGCCCATGTCATTTACATATATATATCAAGAACAGCAGGGGTCCTAATACCCACTCTTGGGAAACCCCACTTTCTTCCAATCCAAAAATACTACAGTTCATCACTATCCTGTTTCCAGTCATTCAGCTAATTTTGCATCCATATTACTGTTTTTTTCATTGCTCTAACTTTCTTGATAAGTCTTTGTTGATAAGCTCTTTATCAAATATTCTTAAACCAATCATAGATATCTCCAACATCTAATGACAATTCTATGTAGCTAGTTGGATTATGGCAAATTTATTTTATCAAAAATGTACTTTATTGTATTTAAACAGATATCAACAGACAAGATAATATGTGTCCCTGTGCCAGAAGGTTTCTCAATGGCCACCATGCAATGGAACAAAACTGCTCTTAAAGGTCGTAAACTAAATAGTTTTGATTCTGGATTTAAGACTGATTTGGACCGTGAGCAATACAACTTGATGGATCAATATTGTTATGACCATGCAATTCAATGGTATTCAAAATATTTCCCATACATAGCTATCATTCACACACTTATATTTTTGATCAGCAGTAACTTTTGGTTCAAATTTCCAGGAACAAGTTCCAAAATTGAGCATTTTATATCAATTCTTGGAAAATGCTTAGATTCTCAATGGACTACTAAGGCACTTTCAGAAACTGTTTATGAGGATTCAGATCTACAGATTCCACAAAGAACAGTTTTATCAACAGAACCATCTGTATCTTGCTCTTTAAACTTAGAGCAATCGTCTGATACCGCCCTTTTGCTGGGACAAAAAGAATCCAGTAGTGACAGACTGTGTGACAATGATGCACAAGCATCGTTGTGCAAACCTCCTTCGAAGACTTTCAAAACTGTTGGAGGTGGTGTTTATGGTCATGCTGCAGTGAAAATCTTAGATAAAAAGGAGGGTGAACAAGCAAAGGCATTGTTTGAAAAAGTCAAAAAGTTTCGTCTGCACACAGAAGAAGGTCATATTCTTTATATGATGTACATAAGGCAAACTATTTTACGTACAGTTCAGACAATTCTTGTTCTTGCTTATTTTGTAACTCGGATTCCTCAAATGAAACACATTGTGCATTGTGTAGATAAAATTCATATCACAGGCTTTACAGAATTTTTCTGCATCCATGGTCTTTGGAGGATATTCAGGATGTTGTCTATCGTGTATGTAGTTGTCATATTCATTTATTGTATAACCTGTATCTACACATTGTATTGGATCTTCTATTTTAAACTTAAGGAATACTCATTTGCATATGTCAGGGAAGAAACTGGGATTGATGACATTCCTGATGTGAAGAATGATTTTGCATTTTTACTGCATCTGATTGACCAATATGATAAACTGTATGCTAGGAAATTTGCTGTGTTTCTTTCTGACGTTAGTGAAAACAAACTCCGTCAACTGAACCTCAACTATGAATGGACACACGAGAAGCTTCAGCAACGTATTGTTACTAATGAAGACAACAAAACTGAATTACATCTCTTTATGCTGCCTGGTATTCCTAATAATGTTTATGATATTTATAACCTGCAAGTACTAAAATTGGAATTTATTAAGGATGTTTCTATTAGTGCAGCCATTTCACAGCAAACGTCACTCCAAGAACTGTGGGTATACAACTGTATAATAAAAGTAGAAAATCGAGCACTTGCATTTTTAAAAGACACAATAACAATTTTACGAGTTCGATTTGCAAATGCTTATGAAATACCACAGTGGATGTACTGTCTAAAAAATCTCCGTGTACTTTATCTGGAAGGAAACTTATTAATTGACAACAAAACTTCGATTGTCCTCCAATCATTATGTGACTTAGAACGTCTTAGGTCTTTGCACCTGAAGTCCAATGTCACCAAAGTACCTGCTGCAGTTATTGATGTTGCCCATCACCTTCAACACCTCACAATTCACAATCAGGGCAAAAAACTCACCACTCTTAACGGCCTCAGGAAGATGCTGTGTCTGTCTGTTCTAAAGCTGTATAACTGTGATCTAGAGAGGATCCCGAGTGCTGTATTTAGCTTGAGCAATCTTCAGGAATTGGACCTCAAAGACAACAACCTGAGGACATTAGAAGAACTGGCTAGTTTCCAGCATCTTCGCAAACTCTCCATACTCAAACTTCATCACAACAAAATTACACAAATTCCTCTATACATTGCCAAGGCTAGTTCACTGGAAATGCTTTCTTTAACTAAAAATAATGTTGCTTTTCTTCCCTCAAATCTCTTCAAGCTTACTGGATTACGACATCTTGAAGTTGGTCATAATAGTATTACAAGCATTCCTACTGAAATAGAACAGCTGGAGGATCTTCATTATTTTGACATTGAAAGTAACAAAATATCTGAGCTACCTTTGGAACTGTTTTATTGTACAAAACTTAGGGTGTTGATACTTTCATACAACCTTTTGACTTCCATTCCACCCAAGGTGAAAAATTTGACACAACTGAGACAATTGGATCTGAAAGGGAACAAATTGCAATATTTGCCACCTGAGCTAGTGAAGTGTCAGTGTTTGAAGAGGAGTCAGTTGAATGTAGAAGAGGATATTTTCAACACACTGCCATATGACATTAGAGAAGAGTTTCTAAACAGGGAATCTAGGTGAACAGCATGTAAACTTCAATATTTTAATTAAATGAATAGTTTCTCTCAGATTTTCATGCACGTCAGATGTGTAACTATTTGAATAGATCCTTGTGTTTTATTCAGCCAGAACCTTCGCTGGAAATAGTTTGATATTTCAAGATACTTCCATCCCAAAAAAAAGCATATGCCAGCTGTAGCAGAAGAGTTAAGAGGGAAAATAAAGAACAAGGGGAGATAAGTATAATGCTCAGCTGGCTTAAGATCCTGCCAAAGATGGAGGGAGGCTGACCCAGAACAGGAAGACCAGAGAGAACTTGAGGACTTGTCAGAGATTGGGAAGAAGAAGAAAGGGAGGGGTTTATAAATGAAAATGATAAATACAGTGTTTTAGTAAGCATAGGACCAATGAAAATTGAGAAATAAATTCTGTGCAGTGAAGGAGGGCTTATGTAAGTCAGAGTTTTTGGACCAATGCCATTTCTGGAGACTGCAATGCTGATGAGAAGGTTGTTGTAGAATGCGACAAATGACAAATCTGTGAATAGGGGGTTCAACAGTATTCAACAGAGACATGCCACATTGTTTGGGTAGTAATAGACTTAGTGAATTTTCAGGAGTTTAAAGAGAAAGAAAATGAGTTGAACTAATTTGATAGCTGTCTAAAAAGCTGCTGAAGCATAATAAGACACATTGTGATTCTGTCCATTATTTTATTAATTTTGTTAACATTATGTTAGAGAATTTTCTAGTTTATCTGTGACTTACCATGTCAGCAAACTTTGGAGCAAGACCTTGCCAGGATTTGGGTCTGGTAGGGACCAAAGCATCAAGATCTGGATTTCATGCAAGAGGTGAGTTTGCTAAGGATGATGGAATTTGGAATAAAGATCCAAAATGATTAGCTCAAGACTGGTGTATGTGGATGTGTGGAGATATTAGAATCAAGCATAGAATCCCTACAGTGCAGGAGCAGGCTTCCATACCAAACCACTAAAGAGCATCCCACCCAGACCCTTTCTCTGTAACCTTGCATTTTCCATGGCTAATCTACCTAACCTAGACATCCCTGGACACCATGGGACCATTTAGCATGCCCAATCCACCTAACCTGCATATCTTTGGACCATGGGGCACCTGCAGGAAACCCATGCAGACACAAGGAAAACATGCAAACTGCACACAGACTGTTGTCTAAGGGTGGAATTGAACCTTGTTCTCTGGTGTGTGAGGTAGCGGTGCTAACCACTGAGCCACTGAAACAGCTGAAGCAGCCAGAAAGATGTTCAACATAAGAAAGGCCATGAAGCAGTTTGCATAGTCTCCAGGATATCCTTAGAGCTATTTATAATCCAGCTACAAGTAGACTGATGGTCCAGCCAGATTTGGTAGTAGTAGTGGCTACTTTTGTACTAGCTTTGCTATAACTGGCAGAATTCAAACTTGGGAATTATACATCAGATGCTGATGCAAAGTAAACAGAATTATGAGAAATTTTACAGATGACAGCTAGAAATGTTAGAGACTTTAAAGGAGCAATACTAAAGGATATGGTTTTTGAAAGAGTAGTATCAGAAAAACCAGACTGAGATGGAACCTGATGAGGAGACTGTGTAACTGTCATGATGTCTGCATCTTGTTCTGATCATGTAGTCAGGTTTGGTAACTTAGCAAGAGGAGTCCCTATCACTTTTCTGTCATTCCGTAATCATGCTCCTTAAAAAGGAAAATGTCTTTGAAAAATTTCTGTCAAAATTTAACACAATAAGTTGAATCCAGGTACGTGTATTTACCAACTTAATACTTACATTTATGAAAGCTGAAATATAAATTACAAAACCACACAGCAAATGATCTGCATTACATTCTGATATTTATGGACATGAATGGAACAAGATTTGCTTCATTTCCCTTATCATTTATTTTCCTTTACCTATTATCTTAAGGTTTGTGTTGGATAGTGTTCCACATGTTCCAGCAATTTTTTTCAGATGGCTTTTCTTTAAGTGATTTTTTGTTTTGGCAAATAATTCAAACCTAGGAGAGCCTGGCCTAACCCTGCACTTGGTTGTTTGCCTGGATGTACACATTATAGTCAAGGGACTCCAGGACAAATAGGAATAGGCACTTTTGCCATCTCTCAGCCTGAGTACACAAAGTAATTTTAGTACCTCGCTGTCATTCTTACTGAAGATAGCGAATTTGAAATAGGTGAGAGATTGGATACAGTGCTGAAACTGCTGGATTGGAGAAGTTGTGACCACCTGAGCGGATGAACGTGGAAGCCAACTAATAAATGTGACCTGGGCTTGGTGCCCGATCATGAGGCATCGGGAGAGTAGCGGTACCTCATCCAATCGCAGAGAAGTTATCATCCATTAAGGGCAGAAAGTCTTTTTTTAAAAAGCTGTTATTCCGAATGCAGTCTTTGTGAGAATACACTGCTGTTGAACTCACCAATATTGTCATATATTGTTGGGTGATGCACTGGCTGGAATGTAAAACTGAGCACAGTTGAATCTGTTGAAGACTAGGAAACAGTTAGCACTGCACATGCTGGAAACCAGAGTCAATAAACATGGAGCTGGACAAACACAGTTGGTCAGTTTTGGCCCAAGACATTGACTTGCCTGCTCCTCTGATGCTGTCTGACCTGCTGTGTTTGTCCAGCTCCATGTTTATTGACTCTGGCTTTCAGCACGTGCAGTGTTAACTGTCTCCTAGTCTTCAACGGATTCAACTGTAATCAGTTTTACATTCCAGCCTGCGCATCACCCAACAACCCAGAAACAGCTCACTTTGTGACCTCCAGGCTGTTCGGGAATGCAGACAGCTTCTACTTTCAGCTGATGGCCACAAACAGCCATTAGAAATAACCAAGGTGACCGAGATCAAAGTTGCCATGGAGTGTGTGGCCATCGGCTCCAGCTGATGGTCTGAGTCCAGTGGAGATAAGGAATGAATGGCTTCGTCTGCAAGGGTGAGTTTGATGTTCATACTGTGAAGGAGTGGATGAAAGGTGGACTGGAAAGGGAGGTGTACTAAATTGTTAAGGACAAGAATGGGCTTGAAGTGTAAAACCACACATCCTCCAAATTCTGCATCCATAGTTACGCAGGCTGCATGTGTATAAGTTGCCTGAATCCACCTCTTCCTCTGCACCTTACCCAGATTTCCTGAAAGTGGGAGCTGAAAGGACAGCTGGCCATCTGACACATCATAGGATCAGGAAACAGTCTGGCAGGGGGTGGGATAGTTCCTCAACTCACTGGAAATCTCACTTTTTCTCCCCTTGTGCTTGCAGGGCTGCAATGCCAAGGAGAGATCCAAGACTGGACTAGAGTACCAGAGATGTGTCCATTGACAGAGGCAGAGCTGGAAGCCCTGGTGCTGACAATGGAGCAGTTCTGCTGGTCCATATCTGAAGCTGAGTTAGGAATAGCGAGTGTGGAGAATAAGATGAATTGTTCCTGGTTATTCATTATCTGGCTATTGTGGGAGCATTCGGCAGTTGTTTTCATGTTGCACTTGCAAGATCAATTGCTGCAGAGTCATGACTGTGTTCCATCTGCTACCTGGAGGACAACAATCCAGATGCTTGTGAAGGCCTTGGGTGAGGGTTCTTGTGGAGCACTGGTAGTATCCCTACCTCTGATCCAGAAGGCCTGTATTCAAATCTCACCAGCTCCAAAGGTGTGTCATAACACATCTGAACAGGTTGATTAAAAGTATCTATACTCACCTCAGTGGGAAGTCAAATGCATGACATCCTGGATCACAATCTGGTGACTACCACACAGTTATGCTAAGGGAGGGGAGGGAAGTTGTGACAGACCAGGTCACTGGTAGACAAGGGACTGTTAGGCAGCAGACCCCTGCGGTGCCTCTGACATTTTTGCGATGTTGGCATCACTGCTAAAGCCATTGAAGCTAAATGGCTTTGCTAGGCCATTTCAGAGGGTGGTTAAAAATCAACCATATTGCAGTGGGTTTAGATTCACGTATCAGCCAGACCAGGGAAGGAAGATTTCCTTCCTCAAGGGCATTACTGAATCAGGTAATTTATTCCAAACAATCAGTGATAGCTTTGTGTCACCATTACTGATACTAGTCTACAATTCCACATTATTGAATTTAAATTCCATCAGCTGCCATAGTGAGATTTGAACCCATATATCAGGAGAATTAACCTTGACACTAGGTTACTATTCCAGTGATAGTACCACTACCACCAACTTCCCCCAAAGGCCTATGATAAGGGTCACACTCAACCAGTTGAGTTGCAGGGAAATAGGGAGAATGAGGACTGCCTGAAGCTTTAAGCAAACATGTGCAGGCAGTAGAGAAGTCCTCCCATGGTATGATCTCAGGTAGGAGACGTATCATCTCTTCTATGAATGGGGTAGCAATCACTGTGGAAAGTTTGGCCTAGGAGACCACACGGCAAAATGCTGCAAATTATCGCTGATGTCATGAGCTCACTGCAGCAGCAGGCCAGCGAAAGGTTGTCAGTGCCTCTGGATATCCCTCCAGGTGTACCTCAGTCAAGGGAAAACATGGCAGTGCTTAGTTGCACCGAGAGACCTGGGAATGCAGCCTGACACAATTGAAGATTCTCCTTAAGGCACTTTGTGTGTTGTCAAGAGCTCCCTAATGATCTAATCTAATAATCAAAAGCCCTTGGACAGAGAAAACAATAGTCTGTTTACACCACATTTGTAAATTGTGTGAATGCATCTTGCTGCAGTATGCAGAAGTGTTTCAGAAAGTTCGCTTTCACACTGCAAGATAGCACTGGCGTTTATGTTATTTAAAGAAAAGTTGTTTGTGTCATGTTGAAATATTGTTGTGTTTTATTCAGGAAGTGTTTTTTCATGTGACCCTTGTGATGGTTCCTTGTCAGAAATGTATGATTGTTATTAGCTTGTGTTTGAGGGACAGTGGCTGTATTCTTGCAGATTTGAGATTTGGATTTCTGTGCGATAACTAAGAGTAGTATTGTGAGCTCCTAGATGTAACAATATGCAAAAGATAAAGTCATCATTAGTTCTACTGTCTCTTTAGAGAGACAATTAGTGGTAGTTTAACCTGAAGGTCACCACACCCCAGATGAGGAGAGAAGTTGGAAACAGAGACCTTCATGGTAACCTCAGCCTGGGTGGGAATTGAACCCAAGTAATTAGCATTACACTGCATTGCGAACTGGCCAATTGAGGTAACCAAACAATATGTACCATGTGTAGAAAATAAGTAAGACTGTTAATTTTATATTGCTCAATGGTGATCAGGTACTTGGAAGCAAATCAGTACAAGGTAGTCCCATACCTCCTGTACATTAAATTCCAGGCACAATCGTCAACAGCTGCTTGATAATGCTGATCTACTTCCCCATACTCCTCATCATAGGCAGCATCTGCCTCCTATCTTTCCTCAGTGCCAATGTTATCACTTCCTTAT